AAAGTTTCGATTAAATACCTCTGGAGCAATATATCCTAAAGTTCCTCTGGTCCCCATCATTGAAACAATACTTTCTCTTGTTTCACATAATTTAGAAAGACCAAAATCAGAGATCTTTGGACAAAAGTTCTTGTCCAAAAGGATATTGTGGGGTTTAATGTCAAAGTGCAAAATCCTTGTGTTACAACCTTTATGTAAGTATTCCAGTCCTTGAGCAATGCCTACAGCAATTTCATACAAAGTCTTAATATCAAGCCGATTATTTTCCTCTGAAGATCCTTGATTATAAATGAACTTATCCAGTGATCCATTAGGCATGAATTCATAAATCAAAGCTCTTTTTGACCTCTGGTAACAAAACCCCAATAGAGTGACTATATTGACATGCGATGTTCTGCTAATGCTAGCAACTTCATTGATAAATTCCTGTCCATCCCCTTCGGATTTCTTAAGTACTTTTACTGCCACAACACGGCCATCAAGTAATGTCCCTTTGTATACACTGCCGTATCCTCCTTGACCCAATTTTTCTGAGAATGAATTGGTGATTTTCTTGATGTCTGAATATGAAAATCTCTTGGGAGCAAGAGAGTTACCAAACTCAAGAATGAGTGCCTCAACCTGTTCGTCGTTCATTTTCGTTTTCCTAATTTGGCCAAAGTTAAGAGTCTTCGAACCTAATGATAATTCTCCTTTAAACTTGAAGAGAAGGACTACAAAAGATATTGCTACAGCTACAGCTGCAGGTACTGCCACTCCTAATTAATAGAGATATTGAGTCAGCTAATTTAGAAAAGGATATAAGATGTAGGCTAAATAAATGTTTCAAAAATGAGATTAATTTAGTACCTAGGATTAGTTTGAACTTCCAGTCAGATGACCTTTTACCTGCAACAAAAGGAGAAGAAATAGTGTGATCAGGTTTTGCTTGGACGATGTCATATTTTACTTGAGATTTTATATGATGGAGGAATTTCAAAATCCTTTTCTAAACTACCGTTTCTGTGAACAACTAACAAAATAAATTGGCAGAAAAAGGAGGGGGGAAGCTGTTGGAAATATTGTTAGAAATGTGGCATTCAAACCTGAAAAATGATGAGATGAAGCTGCCATTTCATGGCAGCAAGGAGGCAAAAAATTGACAGCAAATATGGCAGCAATTTAGCTGCAGATATGATGGAAATGAAGCTGTCAGATGACAGCAAAAATGTGCAGCAAACTAAGCTGCAAATGTTGAAGAAATGAAGCTGCAATGAGTAGCAAATGAAATGCAAATGAAATGTAGGGCTGCAAAATTGGTCAGCTAAATGAGAGCAAGCATGCAGCAAAAGGGCCAGGTCTTTTACTTGTTTTAGATGTACTTCATTGTTGCTTTTTTAATGTAGAAAAGTTGTTTAGAGAAAACAAGAAAACATGAAGCAGAATACTTATTATTTTTTAGGTTGTTTTTCTGCCATAAAAAGCAGAGATTGTGTACCAATAATTTGTTGATTCAAGTAAAAGGAATTTGATTTTAAGTCTTATAAATAAAAAACAAGTATTAGGAGAATCCTCTCTTATGGGTCTGATGCAGCTAGACTTTAGATTAATTAAAATCTAAAGTAGTTTCTTGATAAAAAAGGGTTAGTGCTTAAAAAAAAAAAAGTAAAGATTAATTAATTTTTGTTGTTTTTAAATAAATTAACTATAAAAAAATATCTTTATTGTATATTTAAACTGTGCCATAATAATATAAGTTAA